CAGCAGCAGAGTAGCATGGAGGAAATGCAAACATGTTTACTTGGCAGTGGGGATAAGTGTTTGCCGGAGGGCACAGAGGCACAACAGGCTTCATTAGAATACACTTCAATAGCTGAGAAACACTACCTGCAGACTGCATGCACACGGATAACATTACTCTGCCACTGAGCAACACCTCGACCACATCTGTGGAAGGCTTTTATGTCTTTGCCTCCTACGTTCCAAAGCTTTTATTTTGGACTTGCTGTCTTTATCAGACAGTTTGGGAAAGATCTGGGCGCTCACGGCAGTCAGTGTTTGCGGCACAACATTAGCATTAAACCAGACCCTTTAATTTTCATCCTCTTTTGTTATCTTTTTATTTTTACCCATTTTTCACAGGCAGCAGGCTAAAATTGAATTTATTACAAAAGGACAGATTTTCAGGCAATAAAGACAACTTGAGTTGACCCAAGTTTCCAACAACTATTCAGCCCCTTCCCTGCTCCCACACAAATAAATCAAGCCCCCCAATATCTTCCTCCTCGGGGTGACGTCAGAGAATTGAGTTTTCCGTGTTACTCTCGGCCTCCACAGCAACCGTGGGTGACACTGCCCTCCCCCCTGACCTGACCCGGGGAGAAACTCTTTTTTTCCACAGGGGTATTGTTCCCAACACTTGAATGGATTGCCCTCTAATTCATCTCGGCATGGATAGTAGTGTACAAAAGCCAAGGAAGCTGCGGTCTGAGGTGTAGAACAAACCAACAGCATTATAAAGCCATGCATGCTGAACTAAAAGGTCCTGTTAGTGAATCCACAACAACCGCAAAACACTGCTTCTTACTCCAGACATAACTTGACAGAGAAAAATGCCCATCAGACGTGTTGTAATGGATTGAACCTTGATGCTTTCACGCTTTGTGAGTTTCAGAATCTGGCACAACACAATATGTCTATGCTGGTTTACATATTCTTCAAATGGATTGCTTCTCATTTTAAATAAAGTTTAAAGCATTTTAAGCAGTTTTTCAGGAAAAGTTTTTTTTTTGTCTGAAAAGGAAACAGCTTAAGCTGGCTGCTTTTCTTACATGCAAATACTCCTGGAAACGTCTGAAAATGTCACATTTTGTCATTGAATACAAAAAATGTAGCGGTCCTAATATGTATATAAAGAATCTAACTCAAACTATGCTATGCAATAAGAGGACTAATAAACAAGCTAATGTGGACTTACTGTAGTTCTATGAAACATTTGCTAAGTAGTGCTCTTCTATATGTGTACACTGCAGAACATCACAAAGGAGGTGGGTCAAATCAACTCATCTTTTCTAGTTTATGTGAAGCAAATATATGAGTTCAGCTAATTTCCTTTTAAATTAACTTGTGCCAAATTTTGTTTTTGCATTCCAAAAAGTTTCTTTAAAAAAAAAACTTAAATACAAGAGTTCTTCTAACTTGAGCCACTTTGAAAATTAAAATTAGAAGTTCAATTCACTGGAAGTAACCCGAACTCATATATTTGCATCAGATCAACTTGAAAAGATGAGTTGATTTGACACAACTCCTTTGTGATGTTTTACAGTGTAGAAAATCAACATTCAGTATTTTGTCATTGACATTGAAGAGGTCCTGTCATTAAAGGAGCATTAAATGTACACTGTGTGACTACTATGAATATTCTTCCAATTAATTAAAGTTGAAAAAAAAAAACACTTAATATAAGGTGTACCATCGGGTGTTAAAAAGAGACACCTTAAGCTACAAAACGCATTCCTGTGTACATTTTGAGCTCTCTGACAGTAATGTTAAATGACACAGCCAGGTCCTGCAGGAAAGCCTCTAAAACACAGACAGTAAGCTAATGTTTCCCTGATGTTTACGTTGCCAAGACACAGCAAAGCAACAGATTCAGGGCTTAAACTCCACTAAATCTCCATAGTGATGTAATTTTTGGCGCTGGGCTGCATTGCAGGACACCTCATGTTGTCACCTTAGAGGTGCAAAGAGACAAACAGAGGGGAGTGGGAAGGTTACGAGACAACTGCTTTGCTAAAATAATGTGCTCTGCTGGTACAGTGACTTTCCACAGCAGAGTTACATGTTGTACATCCACACACACATACACTAACACGCACACACACACGGACATGATGCGGCGGCGGCACCGTCCCGCCTCACTTACCGGACGGATGAGAGGGGCTCGTCGGGACACGTATTCCGCTCCGACGCCGTTGTGAGTTAGTAGCAGGTACTTTTCGGAGGAGAAAATCTGCGTGGTTGCGGGTTATCAGGTGAGCTGCTGGTGTCCTGGCCGGAGCCGCAGCACAAACCGCGCGGGGACGAGCAGCGGCGGCGGCGGTGGCGGCGGCAGACTGTTGTGAGCCTGCTCGTACGTGATTGGTCCAGGTGGAGCAGGCGCGCGTTCACGTGTCCGCTCCTCCTGCGCGCACCACGGGCAGCTTGTGACCACTGGTGCAATCACAAGGCTGCAACCGGTGATGAGCTGCTCAGGTGGGCTGATGATGGCCAGTCGGTGTGGCTTCAGTCACAACGTAAGCACAGGTGGAGAGTATCTGGTGCAAATTTGAATCATCATTAAGTCGATGTTATGCACATTAGTCACACAAAACATGTGATCAGTTTATATAATAGAAGAAGAAGAAGAAGCTTTGTTGTCATTGCACAAAAAATCAACAACATTTTGGCATCATCTCTGTAGCAGCTAATGTGGTCACAGTTCTAAGATAGAAAAAGCTAAAAAGGTGATATAAATAATAAAATAGCGATAAAATGAATACTCTATTAAAAGTGCAATAGAGCATTATATAATGACTTCTTATACACTAAAGTGCTTAAAACAAATATAATGTAGATCAAATCAGCTCATTTTCTGCTTACACATTAATCTTATAACGCAATATACAGACAGGTGGTAATGTAACTATATAAAGTGTCTTAGTAAAGTGTTGGACCCCTGAACTCTGCTGCAGGGATGAACACCTTTTTTTTCCCCAAAAGATATTCCCTCATTTGTTGTTTTATTGATGAGTGTAGAGCACCGGCTCACAATCTTCTATAGGTGTTTCATTGGGTTAAGATCTGGAGGCTGCAAAGGTCAAACTATAAGATTCGAATCAAACGATTCAGTGACCCCTCGTGCCCTGTGGATGAAGGCATTGCCATCCTGAAAGAGTCTACCATCGGAGCAGCAATGTTTTATTTTAAGGTAAAAGTGATCAGTCAGAACAGCTTTGCATTGATGAGCAGTGACTGTTCTTGCTGAGGGGACATGTGGATCCAGATTTTGGCAGCAAAATGCTCCTGACACCAGAGGATTCCCTCATTGTAGGGGTCAAGGGTTCAGGTTTTTCCTTTAATTTGTCATCTATCTGTATAATATAGTATTTTTCAATGAGGCTGTTTTGCATTAATGCATATTTTGACACATAAATCACATTTTCTGTACCTTCACTGAAATGTAATTTCAGTTCAACTTTGAATTCAGAACTACTGCTTGTAATACAGTTAATGTTTCCTGTGGTGTTGGAACTTTAACTAAGGGACTTTGGACTTCTACCACTATTTCTCCCAACATTTGGATGCCAAAATGTTGCCTCCATTTTAAGCTAAATTAGGCTCTAACACCTCTGTAGTTCTGAGGGAAGCATTGTACTGCTACCACAACAGCTGCACTGTGTTCAGGTTTACCAGTCATCCCAAAATATGTCAGCTTTGTTCAAACAAAAAAACAAAAAACAATCTTCTTTCAACTTGATGATACATAGAATTTTAGACATCATAAGAGGCTTTAGTAGTTTTGTAATTGCCTCCTTTCCTCTTGTCTTTTTGCTTCCAGATTTCAGTATTCTGAAATTATTAAAAAGCCCAGGTCAAAAACTACAAGCCGACCAGAACTAGAAACTCCAGTACACACTTTGCTGGTGTTTTTGTGCTGCCTCTTTAGGATTGAAGGATTTCTCCCACCGTGTGATAAATAATGAAGGTGGGGAAGTTTGCCATGAGTCACAGATGTACTGGGTGGTGACATCAAGCCATGACCAAAGCTCCATATCTCATCATCTGTTGGTGGTTTCATGATCTCTGCACGGAGATTTCAATAAATAAATGGAAATGGATTCTCATTCTCAACTGATACCACACAGCTAGGATCGCAACGGCACAAAATATAAAACTGTCTTGATCAGAACTCATTCTTTGCATTACATAGTGTTGAAGCAATGAACCAGAATATAGATTAAATGATGCTGTTAAAAGGGCTAAAGACAGATTGCCTTTTAACTTCATCTACTTGAATGCAGAATGAGTTCACCTTGAGGTTTATTGAATTATTAGATGCATTTTGTAATAATAAAGCTGTTTTTTTTTTTTTAACCATTGTTATTTTTTGATTATTGTAACTTGCAGCAGATTGTTTTTTCATTCCCACTGAAAAACTATTATTTTTATTCTACGGTCCATTTGATTGACAACATGACAACAGATGAGACACGTCATCGGCATCCTCAAAGCTTTCCTGAGGATTAACCGCATCCTTTCAGATGTACTGTATACCTGTGGGTGTGGTGGGCTTGTGATTGTGAAAATCTAAAAGGGGAATCTCAGAGCACCTGGAGTAAAGTAAACTCAGAAGAATCCAAGTGAAATGGCTCCACATTTAATAAGAACTCATGCCCCTTAGTGTCATCTACAGCAGTTTGAACCCATATGTCAACAGTCTGTTCAATAAGCCGCTGCTGGCTGTTTGAAAAGGGACAAACTGACAAAACACAGGATGGAGCCTTACTTCAAAAACTGTTCTTCTTTTAATTGTAAATGCTCACAAAACATATAAACAAGGAGGCATATTGTCTGTCTTTCCTTGCCTTATTTTTCCAGCACCAACTGTACTGAGCAGCTTTAATTTGCTTCATATTTCTCTGTTGGCCTCTGGTGGTGACTTTTAATAAGAGCTGCTGCCATAAACCCTGATTTATAAAGAAATAAACTCTGGCCACACATATGGAAAAGAAGTTTTTATTTTCCCAAAGAGGTTACACAACATTCAGAATCCTTTTAACTCAACATTTGTTAATGTTTCATTTATTATAAAGGTAGACACCTACTAGTACACTGCAGTACCAGCGCATCATTCTGTAGGTCTTCAGGAAAACAAAGCCGAATGGCAGCATTGGTCATACTAAAGGTAAAATAGAGATTACAAATATATATCCATCTATTTCAAGGAAACAATAGATTGTTGTACAAGATTCACACTCTCAAACTGCTATAGTGAGCCATAGGAAAAGTACAAATCCACAAAGTGAGGACACGACAGCTGATTATCATTACCAGCCTGCAGAAGTCCCCTTTGAAAAATATACTTTTGTGTAACCCAATAAAGGAAACTGTTAGCAGCCCAGGCAAAGGATGCTGGTCTTTCAAATTTACAAAAGACAACATTTCTCAAGTTAATTGTATTTTGGTTTACACCTTACATATCATACAATTCTTACAAGTTTTTTTGTAATTAGTCTCAAATGCATAAATGTGCATATGTGCAATACGGATAAATATCTTTGAGAACAGCATGTCTTCAAATAGATTTAGACTTTCTGAAGTTAATGAAGTCGTTTCTTCTTCTTTCTTTTTTAACGCAGTAATCATTTTGTGGTGTGTTTTAGCACGTAAAGTCGTACAGGGTCTATCTGTACTTCTTCCACGGGTGTTTGTGCATTTGTTTGGTCCTTTCTCTTCAATCAAGAGTGGGCCCTTGAAAGCCTAGTAGTGAGAGCGCCTGTTTTCGGTAACAAGACGAGATAGCACAGAGGAGAAGAGAAGAACAAATTCAAGAAATCAAGGCACAATTAGTCACATAAGGCTGGTCCTTCATTTTCTCTGGAATATAAGAGATTCGACACTCTCATCCATTCAGTCGTACACTCCCAGTGGAGACACAATCGAGGAATGGAGGGTAATGTCGAATAAAAGTAGCATTATGTCAACATAAATGCGTCACAGCATGCAGGGAGTCAAAAATACGAGTTTTCAAACATTTCTTGAAAAGGAGTGTTTTTTGGGGGGGAAACACTTTGGTTTTTGCAAACTTGGAGAAGAAAATGGACACCTCTCTCATATCTGTCTGGTCGATGAAGTCGAAGCTGGTAGCAGAAGCTCAGTCAGGAATCGGGAGGAAGAGGTCGGCCTGGCTCTGCCCAAAGGCATGTAACCCTCCGTTAAACCACAACTTGATTTCGTACACTTTGGCTTTTGTATTAGCGAGCTTTAGAGGTGTTGGTAGGCAGATATTTTTTAAACGGTGGACAGAGTCACACCACCTCTTTCTCCCTGTTTCCAATCTTTATGCTAAGCTAAGCTAAGCTAAGCTAAGCTAAGCAAAGCTGCTAGCTGTAGCCTTATACACAACGGACAGACAGAGCAGTATAGATCATCTCGCTTAAATCTTAGTAAGAAAGCGAATAACAAAGTATATTTCCCAAAATGTCAAACTGGCATCTTAATCATTGCTGGTAAAAATGACCAATTTTGCACGACCTAGAAATCTAAACGCAACTTTGCACCATTTATCATACGGATATTATATGAAATTAGAAAAGAATTTATGTCGAAAAAGAAGCTTCCTGATTAGACTTTTGCAAAGAATTCATCCCAGTCACCTGATAAACAATTTGAGTAAAATGGCAGCCTTTTGGGTCCCATAGCTGCCCTTACAAAGCCAACATGTCCACTGTGCTGGGATGTAACATTCGTATGCTGGAATACAAAAAGGCCATTTAGAGTTTCCAGATGTATTTACTGCAGCAACTCCTGTTCAACTGGCCTGTCAAACAGCATGAAAGTGCTTTTCCTATGATTTGAAATAACTACACAGATGAAAAATGATTCAACACCAAAAGAAAAACGGAATGTTGGAGTTTGTTTGTTTTTTTTTCCTTTCTTTTGTTAAAAGACTTACAGTTCTGAAAGTTTGAAAAGCAGTGACAGTAGAGTTAAAGAGGGAAAGGAGGTTCCTGTAGTTTCCGCCGAATTTCTCCTCGAACTGAGCCGACGAGATTTCAGGAGTGATTAGTGCTCTTCCAGCCAAGATGGACTGTCTCCGCCAGGCATTTTCAACTTGATGTGGAACTGCTTGAGTGTCTGTTCCAGCTGCTGTTGGTTTCCAGCATAGTATGCAGCTATGGCATTGTGGAACAGGATGAGCTGGTTATGCAATACCTTTACCTGTTGGCGAAGGAAGAAAAAGGAGAGAGATGAACACAATGAATTGAAAGCTGATACGTTGGCAGTGATGTGAAGAGTCGAACTAGTATCTGACCAACCTTGTTCTCTTCCAGGAACTTCAGCTTGACTGAAACGTCGTTTCGCATCCTCTCATACTTCTCACGGTGGATCTGAAACTGCTGCTGGGACTGTTCAATCTTCGGCATGGTGTTGGCGTCGCGTGGCCCCAGATTCAGCTCTTCCAAATCGGTACGGTATGCATCATACTCCACCCTAGAAGTGTTTCATATTTAGAAATCACACCAGAAATATGCGATATGTCTGTTTACATGATGGCATGTAGGAACAGACCGTTGGTAGCATACAAATAATATCACAGGCAAAGATATTAGAAATCATGTAACTGCAGTAACCCCTGAGCACTAACATGTTTAATTAACCACCAACACATGACATCTGCACCAAAACAAATGACTAAAACAACAGACTGAAAATGATTCAACAACAATAATTCTAAATTCAATTAGTCATTATAGTGGCTTATCATAAAAATTCTGCTTTCAGTGTCATTAAAGTTTGTTATAAACCATATGTTCAATGTACTGCTTCTAAATGCTGAATATGTGACATGTGAGAGTGTCGTTTTTTTTCCTCTACATTAAAATATTTTTGATCCTAAATTCTTGGAAAACAAAAAAGAAAAAAAAGAAAGTTGTCAAACTGGATTCTGCGAACAAAATCATTCATCAGAAAATAAAAGAATAAATAAGAACTTACATTTTAATGGAAAACTTAAAACATAATTATTGTAGCAAAAAGTAAAGTAAAAATATAAAGACATGATAGTGTGTTGTCCGCAGTTTGAAAGGCCAAAATCCTGCCAGGATTCACATGTTGCAGTTTAATAAAAAATGGTAAAAACAAAACATTCAGTGCACAGGCAGAACAGAACAAAAACACAAGCACACGTTACCTGGCGATTTCATACTGCTTGATATTAATCATGGTGTCTTCGATTGTTTTGTCCACAAGCGTGTTCACGCTAGCGATGAAGAAGTTGATGGCACCCAACAGCGTCTCTCCATTTTTGGACAAAAGCCTTTGGGTGTCAGCGTTGTAGCTAAACTCCTCCTAAAGGACACAGTCAAGCAGGTGTGGTTGAGTATTATAGTATTAGTGCCTCTAAAAACTGCAAACAATGAATGCAGCTGATAATTCTCTGAATCAAGCACACCATGGTAATCTGTGGAGAAGCCAGTAAACCCACAGGTTGGTTCAACCTACATGCTCATTTACTGTGAAAAGAGTCCAGTTCAGACATAGAAGGTCTACTAACACAAAAAATCCACAGGACATACAGTTGTGCTCATAAGTTTGCATACCCTGGTGATTTTGGCCTGATAACATGCACACAAGATGACACAAACAGGTTGGAATGGCTACTAAAGGTAACTATCCTCACCTGATTGCGTGCAATTATTGTTATTGTGGCACTTTGTGTTAAAAAAAAAATAGTGTCGTAAAAGCTTCTATAAGTCAGGTATAGGACTCAAAAGAAGAGAAAGAAGATTTAAACTTTCTTTAAACCGTCTGAAATCCTCACTGTGGGCCCTTTTTTTCCTGCAATATGAAATCCTACACATCTCGGGAAATAGCACAACTGTTGACAGAAAAAGCAAGAACACAAAAATGTCTTTCGTGTGTTATGACACGGTCATAACGCCATAAATTATAAAAAAGAAAAGGTGAAATTTGTGGATCATTTATTTTACTAAAATTGAAAAAAACAATACTAAAAAAAAAAAACAAAAAAAAAAAATAGTGGCTCTACATATTATATATATTTTACTACTTGCATTTACAATTTGCTTCTGTACTTGAATTCCACCAACTCTGTGTAAACACAACCTGTAGTTCAGCCAGTTCAACAAAACCCCTGAAATTTTGGACACGTGAACGCTGTTAGCAGCAGAATCAATAACGTTATCTATTATGGTGATTTGAAAAAAGAAAAAAAACATGTAGAATAAAGTGATTTTGTGTAATATCATGATGTAAAAATTAGATTTGGGTATATTTTCTGACAGAAAGGCACATCTCAAATGAGTAGGACTAACAGAAAGTTGAAAATCCAACAATTTTCTCCTGTTTTTACAGTTTCTGGCTCTGATAAATAGTGTCATTTTGGTGATCTAAAAAATAACATGCTTTTGAAACCTGCCCTTTGTGCTTTTTTTTTTTAGGGTAAAACCACTGATGTCTGTAAACTGTGATCCGATGCTTCAATAACATAATAATGATCAAAAACAATGAGCAGCAACACTAAACTCTAATCTGAGGGATCACAGTGGTGTGGGCACATGTTGCCCAGCAGATGGCTCACAAGTCAATAGAGTCTGTGTTACTCTGTCTCTGTATAATACCCAGTCTGATTGAGTTCAATGTATCTACACATAGGGACTCACATGGAGCTCTGGTGACTTGAGGCTGAGGTCGGCGAAGGCGTCGCCCAGCTGCCTCTGCGTCTGCATTATCTGGGACAGCTGACCGGCCAGCGTCTGAGCCAGCCTGATCACGTTCTGGTACTTCCTCTTATTGTCGCGAAGCACTTCGATTTGGGCCTCCAGCTCCAGGTCCACGGTCCTCGAGCCTCTACCCAGCTTCTCTGACAAGATCTGCCTGGTGCACTGCAGAGGACAGTGGGCTTATTAACACGCCAATGAAGAACTTCAAAACATTAACAATGACCCCCCTGGGACTTTCTACTGCACTCAGTCAAGAGAAAAAGACCAGAGAGGCTGAGAGAGACACAATCTGAAGGATAGAGTGGAGCCAAAATAAAAAAAAGCAAGAGAGGATATCAATAATGTGTCGTTGTCAGTTTAGGGTAAAGGTAATTTTTCAACCAACATCCTAATTAACTGAGAGAAGATAGAAACAGAACTAAAGCTGAGAGAGGAAGCAGGTTAGAAAAGGGACATAAAAATAAATCAAGGACAGAGAGGTTTACTTTATATGTGTTGATGCTCCACTTTCTCACTAGGTCCAGTTTTTCCATGGCTGGGTTCTTTAAGTCATCTGAAAGGACCACCGCTCCACTCTTTGGCTGAGCTTTCATCGTGCCTGAACAATTGAAATTCATTCACTTAGTGAGCGATTGAGTTATTGGATTTTCAGACAAGGAAGCTGTGGTGAAAAAAAAATCAAGGGAGGTGTTGGAATTATAAAACAGTTCATTGAGATTGTCAAAAGCTTTACTGCAGACATAATATCAAATGAAAGACATTAGAGGATGACGTCTATGAATGCTCAAATCAAACGAACATTAACATTGTAAAACAGGTGCAGTAGAAGTGACACAAAGAGCTTCATTGTGTTTTGGATACAGAGGGGAAACGCTGCGAGATATGGAGCTCCGAAACTGACAAAATGTAGAAAAAGGTTATCGGACGTGTTAAAAAAAAAAAAAAAAAAAAGGCTGAAGACATCCATAAATACTACAGTTAGATAAAGCAGTTACTACTGAATTTTTTTTGCAATAACCATGTATGAAATGAAAAATTAGAAAAGTGTTATGACAACGTGAAAAAGACTAGTCGTGGTATTTAACCTAAAGAGAAATATCACCAGCTTTCTAGTGTTATTCAGCTCATGGTCCGGCTGTCCATACCCATAACTTCAGACTGGTCTCTGTGAATGCTCCCTTAAGTGCACATCAAACTAACATGATTGCTTTTTGCTCATTGTTAGCTCGAAGACTAATATTGTACAAATGGAAAGATCCATGTCCTCCAACATATGGTCATTGGATGAAAGCGGTTATGGGTTATACACATTTGGAAAAAAAAAAATAGACATACACAAAAAGGATCTAATGGGAAATGTTATGATCAGTGGCTGCCATTTTGGTCCTACTTTGAAAGTGTGTCTGCTGATAAACTTTCTTAATTTGCATAAACTCTGTACTCTGTATACAAATCCATGAGATCACATAAGATATGTCACTTAATGGTCTGATCCGGTGTAGCAGGGGGTGGGGATGGGGGTGTTTTTGTTTTGTTTGTGTTTGATGTTGCTAAAAATAAATAAAAAGACGTTGATCATGCCCATAACTTCACTGTTACAGTTCACTCTCACTGCTCTCGTTGTAGTTGCAGCAGGTAACTTCAACAAATAAAAAGATCTTTAAAAAAAAAAAACCCTCGGTACTCTACCAGCTCAGCCCCTGAACACAGAGCATTTAGCAGACAGGTATTTCCTCTCAGGGATTGGTAGAGACTAAAGTGAAGACAGGACAAGTATTGCATCTACCAAGTGGCCAAAAACACAACTGGAAATGAACGATAATGTTGCTGTGTAACTGCTGGATGTGTAAATAAGCAATTGTTTACAGGCAAATTTGCCATATCAGCTTATATCAATGTAGTGTCTGCAAATTTTCCTCTGCTTCAGTAAGGTAGCCAACACTGATTTCACTGACAGACTGTTACATTGTTAAGCTCACAAGTATAAAATGTAGGTTTTCTTACTCAGATTTTATTCATTAAAAGACAACGTGATTTATTCACCCACCTTTTACAACACTGTGACAGTTTCAAGGCTCCATAAAGAAATTACGGGTGTCAGTTTTTACAAGGGCAAAGGCTGCAAGCAGGAAAACCCACCGATGATCAATGTTAAAGCGGTTCTCTTTCCAAGCAGATATTTACATATCGAGAAGTTGCATTAGATCTAGAAATCTTGAGATTTAGATCTTAGTAAAATAAGTCTAAACAGTATGTAAATGCTCATCAACAGCCACCGCAAAGCACAACACTACTTTCAGCTAGCCCAGACTTATGCAAAGGCGAAGTTTGGAGAGCCGACGAACAAAAAAGGGAAGAAGAGAGGTTTGATTCTGAATGGAGCGCAGCCTGTGGGAACAAGGAGCAGGTGAGAAACTGATGAAAACCAAGAAAGGTAAGGTAGATTGCGTTTAAGTTAGTGTACAAATGGTAGTGATTCAGTGTCATCCGATTCATACTCCATCGCTTCAGGGTACCTGTCTCAGCCTGACTATCGCTGTTGGAGCGTGCCAGGCGGCTAGCAACAGCTGAGCTGGGAGCTACAGGTGCCACGGGAGACGTGGGCAGGCTTGCTGACCCTGGGAGATATTCAGAGTTATGATTCATTAGTTGTTGTTTTTTTTTAACCCTCCTGCCTCACAAAGGTAAGGGTGGACTTGATTTCCTGTGTGTGTTTTTTTCCCCATTACTGTGCTCTCCCCATGTTGCAGGATGAATGTGCTAATAAACAAAAGCCAACCTCAACCCGTGTAAATAACATGGAAAATAGCCATGGCAACATTGGGCTGAACGGGCCACAACGGCTCTCCGCTCTATGGGGAGATTTTTTATTTGCATTTGTAACAAGACCATAATGATGAAAAGGAAAGGAGGGTTTACAATGTGGAGATCAGAGCAAACTCATTAAATTCAATTGGACGCCCACCTTTACAAATTCAAATGTCTACCTTTCATATTTCACAGAGACTGCAAACCTAAAGCGCAGCGCTGCGAATACACGGAGAGAGAGGCCGTTTGTAAACACAGGACGCCGGGAAGAAATCAAATAATGGAACAAGCTGACAAGATTCTGATGAGCTGCTGCTTCACAAAAAAGTAAAGAAAACAACAGTAGCAATGGGGAGAGAAGTGCTCACCTTTGTATGGTCCTGATTCAATGATGCCCTCTGTTGTTGAAGCAAAGTTGCTGGAGACACAAGACTCTGAAAGGTTTAGGGCTCCAGGGCCGCCAGGATAGGAGTCCTATGAGAGAAAACATAGTTAGTATGACAGTTCTAGTGGGACCCAATAGACAAGTAAGATAGGAGAGTCAACTCTGTGTACTTTCATCTGAACACCTGCTGCTCTATAACTAATAGTTTATTACTGTGAATGTGATACACAGAATGAACTAAGGTCAACTTTTATTGTTGTTAAAACCCAATTAAATGAGCTAAATTACTCCAGTGAGTGAAAGTCAAATTATCTCCCAGGCCCTTTGAGATGGTTTGACTTTTTTAATGAGACATTTTTTATTATGAAACAACAGCAACAACAAAAAATAGACTCATGGCTGACTGAGAAGAATGACTGTAAAAGGGAAATATTTCATTTGTGTCATTTTGATGACATATTAACATTCAAATCAAGTCACAAACACAGACACCAAAAAATAATGCAAGACAGAAAACAAGGCAACATGCTAAAGTTCCCTGGGCAACCTATCAATTCCTGCCTGGCTGAACTCATTTTTAACAAGATTAAATGTTTTAAAATTCCATACATGCTTGTGTTTGACAGACGGACAGTGACTGAGAGCTATTTGATGTAAACTAACTGAAAGCACTGCCAGCCCACAGTCATACTGATGAGAGAGAGCGAGAGCGAGAGCGAGAGCGAGAGAGAGAGAGAGAGAGAGAGAGAGCACCCTGAGGTCTCCTTCAAAATGACTTGACTGCAGAAGAAGCTCTCCTTCGCTGTAATTACATCACTGCTTCACAGGATGAAATCAATTTTGTGGAGCGACAACAACTTGTGAATTAGTCCATCCAAGTTAGGTTTCAAGCAAAAATGACAACAATTGCTGGTTCCAGCTTCTCACGTGTGCAGATGTTTTTCATCACCAGAATTTTTAATCTCCCCAAGGGGTTGAATAAAGTATCTATCTATCCGTCACTCAGGCTCAAACTGATTCTTTTGTGTTTTTTACCGCTTGTCAAAGCGAAAAAAATTTAATTGAATACATTTCATTAGAGTAATTATTCTGTTTTCTAACACTTAATAGACAAAACAACTTCATTGATCAATTAGGACAGTAACGGGCTTAATTGTTGGTTACAGCCCTCCCAACCATGTGTACTTGTTTTGGCTGATTTTCTTCTAAGAGTAAAGTGTTTAAGTGCTAATATGCTGAGCTAATTTAATGAAAGATATTAGAATTGATCAGTGAAATGTAAAGTGCAAAGAAACCAACACATCATCTTTCAACTAAAGGATTAGAAGGGAAGTTCAGGAAGATAGTAGACTCACGTTTTAAATCATTTCAGGACACTTAGATAGTCTCTAAACAAGCCCTTACCCTTTGGAACACTGTCTCAGGGCTCTGATCCAGGTCTCCATTGCTGGTGACTGGGATCTCAGCAGCTGAGCTTCTATGGGAGTCCTCAGCCATTGTGCTCTCCTGCAGTGAGGAGGGGGAAATGAAGCAGGTTATTGGTCAAAGAAAAGAGGAGTAAGGATCCACTTTGGGGACCCAACAGTTATGGACTGCCATCTTGTGGACAGTAAAAAAATATGGTCTTGGACCAGGACTCAATGCAGACAGTAACCGCTGGTCAGTACAATCATTGAGGGCTTCCACTGTAAACTGATTAGAACAATCTTTATCCTAAACACTCAAACAAAGTAAGTCAGAAAACAAGAACAGAATATTCAGATTAAACAGTTTTACTTCACATCTCACACAACAGCATGGTGTAATGCAATAAACAAATGGACACTTTTATTATTAACACTGCAACACCTAAACCATACTGGAGTTGCAGTATGTAGATTAAAAATGAATGATAATGTCACTGGTTCCATTCAAGTTGTCCAAACCCTGTAAATTACTGGTCAATCCATCCTGCTGTTGTTGTTGCTGATTTCTCAGACTGGGTGGAGAGACAGTTATTTTGGACATTTTGAAACATTAATCAGGATATAAAGATCTTGTCCAAGGCAGACTTGCCATATCAGCTTATGTTACTGTAGTGGACGTTTACTGCCACACAGACTGCCTCCACCCCAGTGAGTTGCCCAATTGGTGTCTTTTTTGTCATCAACAGATTGCAGGTTGATATAAAATTAGAAATGTGTAGGCCTCATGTATTTCACAACTACAAAATGTAGGTTTTTGTACTTTCATAGTTTTTATTTATTTAAAATATTTTGACAACAGGGGCTCACTGGTTAGCACCATCGCCTCGCAGCTAGAAGATCCCCGGTTCGCATCCTGGTTAGGATCTTTCTGTGTGGAGTTTGCATGTTCTCCCCACGCAGGGTGGTTTCTCTCCGGGTTCTCCGGCTTCCTCCCTCAGTCCAAAAAACATGCTGAGGTTAATTGGTGAGTCTAAATTGTGACTGTGAGTGTGCTTGGTTGTCTGTCTCTAAGTGTAGCCCTGTGATAGACTGGTGACCTGTCCAGGGTGTCCCCTGCCTTCACCCTAAGTCGGCTGGGATAGACTCCAGCCCCCCGCGACCCTAGTGAGGAATAAACAGTGTATAGATGATGGATCTAGGCACATTTTTCTCACCTGAGCACCTTTGACACTTTGACAGCTTCAAGGCATCATAAAAAGATTACGTGTGTCAACTTAAGCAAGGACAAAGGTGGCAAGCAGGAAAATCCCCTGATAATAAATGTTAAAGCACGTATCTTTCCATGCAGGCAAAGCAAATATTTACATATTTACAAGTTGCATTTCTTCTAGAAATCTAAAGATTTGGATATTATTAAGTTGACCAATCTTGTCTTTAATATCAAGTTGTCCAATCTCTGTAAGTTAGTGGTCAATCAATCCTCCGGTTACTGATTTCCCAGACTGGGTGGAGAGCTCAGTGAACTTGAAGACGGTTATTTTGGACAGTTTCAGCATTTACCAGGATATGACACACTTGTACAACGACAACTGACACCAATTTGCAACACCTTACATCTTACAACACTGTATCTGCTTAAATTACCAAACACATCAGAGTCGAATATGGTGTCAAGAGAAAGACACCAATGACCTTTTACTTACACAGACACAACCTTTGTGTGCGATCAATGTTTGGCCCTAGCCCATAGTGATACTTTAAACACATAAAATCCAATCTTTTTGCGCCACGTCCATGTCTGTTTCCTCACAATTACAAGGCTTAATGTTTTACAGTGACATCAGCACATTAAATCCTGAGTGTCAGTGTTGCAACTGGTGATTTTTACTGAGAAAACCTCGTGCTAGAACAAAATTCTTCTTAAACTCAAAAAGCATTAAGAGTCATGTGGAAAGTCTTTATAAAAACACGTATAAATCATGGCATCCTGTAATCGTGATGCAGTGACACATCGGCTTGTTTAGCTCAACATTTACATGTTGGCTTGCAGCGAGCCACAGGGTGGAGACAACAGTTTGTGGCCACATCAGTTTTGTTCAGGCTATAATAACGTGGCTTTGTGGAGGTGCAGGATGAAGATACAGCTGTGCTAGTTTCAGTACATTTTTATGGCCCAATCACTGTGGACTTGGTAACTGGGACACTGACCTAACAACTTTTAACGCTCTGCATGGAAGCTTCACAAGGCCTGAGAATGTAAAGCTGTCACAAAAAAGGGGTTTCAATGAATTATTTTTATAATCAATAAATTAAAAACTTCCATGTTTGAGCAAGATCCTTCACCTATGGACCTTGACCACTGCCTAAATAATGCAAATAGCTACCAGATCACCAGGTAACAGGATCTAGGTCTTGTCTAAACCGTCTGAGTGGTTTCACTGTGAGAGTGAAACACTGAGTTTATTTCATGGATTTATATAAATAAGATATACCAGAATATACAAAACTTTGCACATTTACTTCATTTAATAAACTACAGTTATACTAAACCCCACAGCTAACTCCCTGCAGGAATGAATGAAAAGAAAATCTGTAAATTAATCGGACAAGTTCCATTTAAGTTTAACCTAAAATAGTAATACGATAAATGTACAGTGACATTCTGAAATATATTGAGGAGATTGGGCATTTTGCTTTGCTCACAGTTTGTCATTTAATGTTTACAAAAGGTTACATTTGGCCTCAGAGTACTGTCTGATGTAAAAAAAAAGTTGGTGTATTTGTGTCCCTGAGAGTCAAAAAGTGTTAGTTTGGTGCTACTTCCCCTAACCGACTATTTCCAATGCGCTCACCCAGAATATAACAAATTAAAGGTAAGCATTTTAAAATGATTTCATGTTAGCGTTTGTAAAAACACTTTACTTTGACTGCTGCATCATGTGACAGACACATAAATACTTAAAGGCCATAGGACACCCGCATGCAGGCAGGCAAGCAGGCAAGCAGGCAGCACAGATATGTACTGCTCTACTTGTCAAACCACCTAGTGCAGATAAGCCAGACTCCTGCCTGATAGTTCACTCTGACATCGCGTGTAAACAGGTTGTCTGGAAAAGGAATATCTGATTTCAAGCATTTAAAAAAAAAAGGCTAGATGAAGACTGATTGTAGCAAAATTTGCTGGTGCTGCAGTTGCACCGTAACTATCCAAGTATCCTGATTTGACCGTCGTTGTGTGCTGGAAGACCTGATGACAGTGGGACTAATTCAACCACAGATGATCAGGAGTGTCGGAGCCAAAATGATCACACCCACCATCTGCAAACCTTCTGCAGGAAAGCTCTCTCATAATGTCAAACTACTGAAGCACAGAGAATAGCTAATTTGTGTTGAATTATCAGGCATATGAAGGGGCAAGGTATGGCATGTCATAGTTTGCCGTTCCCTACAGATCAGTATCCTGGCTACAAGCTAACATAACGTGGGAGGGAGGGTTGTGTAATAACAATAGGCTTACTGTCCAATTAGCTGCGTCAGCCTAAGAGGAAGGAATCATGTCTTCCCTCTCCAACTACAGAATGACGTGGCACAATCATGATGCACAAAGTTGAGCTCAAACTGTAATCAGGCTGGAAAATCTGGCTCAAGGCAAAACATAAAAACTCCCAATGACTGCCTTGTGCTGCATTTAGGGTTACTACATGAAAATGGGTCAAAAAAATATAGAGTTTTGATTTGAAATTCTTAGGATGTGACATATAATACTGGCACAGAGTGTGAACCAGAACATGATCAACAGCCTGAGGAGTCACACATTCCAGCAACACAAGAAATGTGGGACTGACTAGGAATGTTTGGTCAGGAGTCCAAATCTGTCTCACTTACCCAGTCATGTGACCGGCACATGCAGAACTAAAGAGCTGTATGCACAACCAACTTACAAATAGGAGGAAATTGTATCATTTGCACATCATGCAAACTTTCACTTACAGAGTCTGTGACGAGCCGAAGAAGGCAACACCACAGAGAAGTGTATACTTACTGACAGCAGGAGCAATGACAGCAAACAACCCATTTGCAGTAGAACAATTCACATACATGTCACACAGTTAGAACCAGCAAAGATAAATTATCTTCAGCAATCACTTAGAGATAAGCTAGCATGAATACAAATAAGAGAAAAATGCATGACGTCTTGATCATCCCTAAGCATACAGGAGCAGCACATCAATAATTAGTAAGAAAGCCACCAAGTGCACCATCAACACAGAGCAGCAGCTACACCAGCTAGTTTTTCTACAAAAAAAACTCCAGCAAAGCAAATTTAATCTGAAACACAACTACCTCCCAACACAAACACAAAAGAGAGAAACACAATCACTTTAACTCAGGTTCATGTTGTTGATTATAGCAGACAAAGCTCCGCAACAAAATTGAACCTCATAATAAATTGATTACATAGGAAGGAGACCGCCACCACCACAGCAAATCACAATCAAAACAGCAACATGAGCAGGGGCACAGTAAGGAAGTGCTAGAGCAGGGTTGATTGTTTAAAGCGAATGTAAATATCACCTTTGTTTCAGTGTGAGAGTCTTCACTTTCCTCTGGCGTTTCAGCTGTTTCAACATGGTGTTCTGCCTCGCGTTCCCCATTGTCTACACTGCCAGACACCACATTCTTACTCTGAATACCCTCGTCCTCCTCCTCCTCAACATCCTTATCACTGGCTTCTGCCTTTTCTCCGTCACTGTCAATATCGATGTCGTACAGGACATCAGCTTTGTCATCTCCTCCCCTATTAAGGTCTACACTCTCCTCCTGTAAATCCTCACTCAAACTGTCCTCTGCTTTGTCAGCCTCCTCACAATCCATCTGAGGGTCCTCGGCTGAGGTCTTCCCCGACTCAGCCTCAAGACTAACTTCAGACATACCTGAAAACAGACAGACATGAAGGTATGAAAAGGTCCCTGCGAAGTCGGCCGACTGCTGATTGTGCTTTACCACAGCACAACGCAACAGTACTACTAACCTATCTTGTGTTTGTGTCTGTACTTTAATGTGTTATTTTATTCAAACCACAGAACTAAGCATGTGTATTTCTGAAAGATAAATCCCTGTTTACTGCTGTTTATACGGTGTTTCAAGAATCTTGCTTCAGCAAGGTGTAACTCTATTCCAAAGATGATATCTGGAGATGTCAGCATCTCCTTGCTTTTTTTGTAAAAACAAGAAAACATCACCAATAAATGTAAATAACATTGGTATAAACAAACGCAACTGATATTTTCATTATCTTGCTAAGACGATAACGCCACACACACACCAACAAGTACTTCACATCACTACACACACATCTATATATATAAATAGTTTTAATTTTGGTTTACAATTCCAGCAAGTTTATGTTTCATTTACATTCACTAGCTTTGTTTGGATTCGTTCAGTAATACAGATACTTAACTATGTGACTCAAATGTACATGAGAGGCACAAACTGGGGCTACAATAACCAGTGCACTTGAAAAACAGTAAAGCAAAGTGACTGAGAGCCTCATGTAAGTCTCGGACAACACTGACAAACTCCTGTGGAACCTTGTGCCCGACTAGAAATCCCACATCTGTTTGAACTGGTATGTTAAGATTCACACCACTGACACTGCACGTTATTTTCTTCCTCCCTTTCTTTCTTTACTCAGTAAAGCAGTCTGAATTGCGTCTGTGTTCTAAAATAAACCTAAGCATGTTGTTAGGTCAGCTGCATGTGATGTTGATCTCCAGCCAAGACACAAAAAAAGGCATGTAAATATTAGTGGTTATTTAAAATACTGGAGCAGTCCCTTCGGAAACAGATAAACAGATGTTAGCATATGCACAAGTTTTCAGCTCTCTGTAGGAAAACGTGACCCAGTTATACTGTGGTGACTGTCTTAGGCTTGATGTGGACGCTAATACTTGTACACTTAAGAGTGAAGTACCGCAGCTGCTGTCGCAGTGTCTGATCTTTATCCTCGCTGCAGCATCACACCAGCAAGGTTAGCTAAATTACCTGTTGCAGTACAGTCACGTGACTTGCGAGGGCGTCCAAAAAGGATAAAAATACTTTTAATGCTATACACATTATATAATGTAGGTGTTTTTTATACACATTTGAAGAGTACTCATTTAACAAACCTTTCCGTAGATTTACACCGAAGTCAGTTAGCATGAAGCTGCTCACTAGTTTGAGTTAACGTGAATGTATGAGAGCCGTTGACGTGTAGTTAGCTAACATTAATGTAGCTAAACAGCCGAGGACGACTCGGCTGAAATGCTAAATAAAATCACTTTCATCAGTTAAAAACAAAAGACTATTTTGCTACGTATGCAATCCAGCACCACAAGCGAACAGCGATAATCAAAACTTTAGTTTACATTACCTGTCTGCGGCTGTGGCTAACTATTTAGCTGTAAACTGTTAGCCGTTCGTGTAGTTCACTGAAATCCTTAGCGTCGTATCGTTCTTCACGTTTTCAGCAAAGGCACCGTGCCTGCTGTTTGTGCAAATGTTGCATAGATATACTAACAGTTTATCACCGGTGGTCCTCGACTCTCCACAAGTACGCCAGGCTTGCTGCTTGAACCCCGGAAAGACCGATCCACTGTGCGGGGCCTCGGCTGTCATCTGCAGCAAACCACATCATTTGCTGCATGCGCTCTCCCCCTGCTGTTAAAATATGCTGTTTGCAGTTTGTGTCTGAGCTTTAAAACCAGTTTATTTAGTTCATTTTTATAACCGAGTATATGTATATATTCACAAATGTATTATAAAAAAAACGCGACCCCAAGTGAACTAATTATGCTGGTTAATTCTTTACGGTAAAGTTTATTTCTTCCTGTAGTTTTCCATAATGTGATTTTACATTACTAACTCCATTTCCCATAAGCCCATTGGCGAGGGACGCACACTTGCGTTGCAACGCAAACTGAAGCTTGGCTGAGGCAGTCCAGCCAGAGGCCATATTGGAATCTATGAAGTCGGCTTGCACTTTGATGGGACTGAGTGTCTGTCGTTTTGGGAGTCTCTAAATCGCTATCCCGGTTTTACACCCGAGTGATCGCACCAGGCATTCCGCTCGAGACTCTGCCAAGTCAGGAGGGCAAGTTGTCTCGCTTCTTTTGTGGAAAAAAATGAGTCCAACCGATGCTAAACGGGGGGCTAAACGCAGGAAGAACAAGCGGGGCGGTGGCAGTAGCTGCAGTGCTGTCTGCAATACCAGCGGTGGCAAGGCCGGGGTTGCTTCGGCCCTGGGCTGTGCGGGAACAGCAACACCTGCCTCTGTCGTCAGTTTTTTAACACCTGGGAGTACAGGCAACGGGAATATAGGGTCCATCACGGGCATCAACGGAGAGGTAAGAATGTCACACAATGTTAACCGTTGGATGTCAAAACGGGGGCGACTAGCTAGCAGGGTTATCATCGACACATCTGATTTGGGCCCGAGAATGATGCGAGTAAGGCAGCTAGCTAACTACCAAGTGCAACGTAGCTTGTAATTAACCGGCTTCGTTACAGCTAATAGTGGTTGTTATGCTTTGTAGAATGCCGTGCCAGCTAGCAGGCGGTATAACTGAGCTATTAAACTAGCCTTATTGTGTTGTAACAAACTAGCATAAACATTAGGCTAACTTGTTTAAGTCCTGGCCGAATGCTGTGACTTCATCGTTAGCTTAAGTTACGAGATCGTAGCTGTATCATCATCAACGTGGACACTACGAAACATTATTTTTGAACTAATACACTCCATGTAGGTAGAGATTAAGTTGCCCAAGCCAAGATTATTCGATAGTACCATTAAGTTCAACACTATCGGCTCACAGGCTGCTATTGCACAGATAAACATCAATGCTAGCGAATGCTAACAGTTAACAGCACTAACAACTTCTGATCTGTCGAGTTTCGATGTGTTCAGAAACTGACCTTCTACTATTTCTGCTTTATAAAGGTCTGAGTTTAACTTGGTTACTTTTGCTAAAGGATGTGCTAATCCACCTGGCTAACTTCAGTTATTCAAGTTAGCTCTACTAACTTTGCAGTAGGCAATAAAACAACAACTTGCATTGATAGCAAGGGGTCTTGTTGTGTTTGCAGCAGACTTATGGTAAACAGATCCACTCATAGATGTTGGTTAGCCTTCTTGGTCACACAAATCTCAAATGTAGCCCTCAGTTGCTCAGTTGTTCTGCATTGAAGTGAACTGTGTGCTGTCTGTGCTTCAGTGCATATTTAATGCACTCTTGTCGCCATTAACATAATCAAAGACTTCCACATAGCAAATGTGCATATGATTGTGATACACACAGTCTGTTTGTTTGTTTTGCTCATAGTAGCAGCTACAAATGTGCTTGTTTGTCTGCCTACAATTGTATACAGTAGTTTGTCAAATAAGGTTACACAGCAGGAAATAGCTGTAGTATTGTTTATGTGATATTGCCATAGCCACCTGTCTGCTATTAAGTTGGATTTGATTCTTGGGTCTCAGTTATCAGTTTACAATGGTAATACATCCTTTTATGCAAATTTATTACAGCAAACAGTCTGAACTGTCTGCATGGCTAGATACTGTAGACATTATAGGCAAGTAGGGAATATGCTTTATTGTAATTTGCATGTTCTGACTCTGAAATGTCCAGACATAATTTATGGACACATGTTTATACAGTAGCCTATCCCTACTACCTTACCCAGGTCTGACTGAATTGCACGTACACATAGCTGGACACACAGTCAGTCCACCATAGGGCCGAAACAAAATCATCAATACTGACAGGTGGTTCACTCTTCACTCCCTCTTAATGCAAGTTGTACAGGCTGTAAATATTCAGCCACATAAGTGGCAAGTGCTTATTTCACTGTAAACACTGAGTTGTTTGTGTCCCTCAGGTCAAAGTGAACAACAGTGTTACACCACAGTTTACAGAAGGACCAGTGAACGCTGACTTCTCCGGAGTCCTTCAGGTAAATTTAAATCCAGAAGTTCATCAAACAGCATTAAAAGATTTTCTTGCGAAGCCATTTCCCATTTGCCAACATAACTGACACCTTATGTCAGAAATGTAGGTACAATAGATGGGGAAGAACACTCTCACTGTGATTTGCAAATGTCTTGTGTTTTTTTTTTTTTTTTTTTAAAGATTTATTTTTGGCCTTTTCCGCCTTTATTGATAGAGACAGTGAAAGATAGACAGAGAAACGTGGGGAGGAGAGTGGGGGAATGACATGCAGCAAATGAGCCGCTGGGTGGAATCGAACCCGGGCCGCTGCGTCGGGGACTGTAGCCCCTGTACATGGGTTGCCTGCCCTACCCGCTGAGCTATCCAGGCGCCCATGTCTTGTGTTTTTAATATATTTAAAACATTCAGTGTCTGGGGTTACACAGTCATTACAAATCTTAAGCTTATTCAGTTCTTATGGGACTTGCTCCAAATACAGTTATTCTTTCAGCAACAGCAGCTCATCAAGATGCTCCAGCATCTGTATTGGATATGCACCTCAGAAACATCATGGCAGCCTTTTTTTGTTACAGTAGGATTTAGTGCTAATTCTGAAGTTGTAGTTTCCATTGTGCCATATTTCTATTGACTGTTATCAAAACAGTTCCATAAAACGTAGACAAAAAAAACATATCATGAACTTTAAAAGAATCTTATTGCTTTGAGTAATGAGCTGTGCCTACAAATTTCCGTCATAAGTATATACAGTCTGAGAGTTTATACATAAATATTAACATGTGCATCACTGAACATGTCCAGATATGATGCTACATGTACACGCTGCATTGTAAATACTGAATAGGGCTGTAACTCTCTTTTTGTGTTTGTGTATTGTTCAAAAAAGCATTTTATTCAGCACACATGATGAGCAAAATAATGCACCCCTGGTTTGTTAAAAATATGTCACGTGGCTGCTGACCTGAACTGTCTTATATTTATGTCACCACACTGGTTTGTTTATAGTTGTGTTATAAACACTGCTTTTGTTAAGCTGATAAGAAATGACACTGGGCCAGGCGAAATTTCATTGTTTGATTTCAAAGCGTCACATTATCATAATATTTGAAAGTTCGTTGTTGTAATAAATTGAAAGTAGATGCATATGGAACATTGTCACATGCTACTTTTTTATTGTATGAAAGCATGTTGTATTGAATCAACTCATGGATTACTTCAATCGGAGCGTCCAGTCTAATCTTTGCTGTATATCTACATATGCTAGCAAACATTGGGGAGGAGGGGAGGTGGGGGGAATTGACCGGCAGTTTGGCTTTCTGGTCTGGTTTTCTGTGCTTCACTTATTCAGTCAGAATGTACCGCTGCTGCAGGAGTGGGTGATGCAGAGAAGCACGGCACCCACAGATTCAGAATCTTCTGGGAACTACTGGTACACCTGTAAAATGCAGCTGAAATGGATTCAAAGCAAGCATTTTTTTTTTTTTATAATCCCAAAGCCCTCTCATTCTTTGATACATGCCATTATTGTGGATGTCATTAATTAAAGCTTCTGGCTGCTAATTATGTGTTTGTGCTCCTTTGTGCTTCACTGACTGACAGGGCTGCACATTAAGGTTCCAGTGATTTAATGGAGTGCAGTGGGCCTGTTTAGACAGCTGGTGTACCTGGAGTCAAGTGGGTCACAAAAGATTAGAGTCTGACCTGGGTTAATATATAGCAGATTGTGTCCAATCTGGGAATCAGTGTTGGAAACCAAAATTTTTCCTTAAAAATTCAAATGTGGCACATTATTTTTCGAGATGGAGTTTAATTTGACCGTCTCTACGAACTAACATAGTTGGATATTCATATTTTTTGAATAAAAATAAAAAATAAAATGGCCACATTCGTAGACAAATACTCAGTTTCTTCTTTTGATTTAGCTTGCTTTTTTGAAAAAACATTAACGTAATGCTGCTGTGTATTTCACTCTCTCTCCTTCCTCCTCTAACGTTCCCACCACAGACCCCATTCACGTTCGGCCTGAACCAGCGGGCGCCATACACAGCTGGTGATCGCTGCCTCCTCTGCCGATGTGAGCGTAAAGACAGCGTTGTGCCTTCAGAGGCAGGCATCTCAGGCCAGAACGGTACAGCACAGCCCGCCAAAACACCCAGTGCCCTCCAGCTGCCTCTGTGGGTTTGCTCTGACTGCAGACGCACAGTGGAGAAGGAGGACCGACATACTGCTCTGGAGCAATCGTTGGGGGTAAGTCACTGAAGAGATTTTAAAATTGTGAAGACTAATATTGGTGACAGTCAACAGTTTGTGGCTGTAGTCAAAGTGCTATATCTGAATTCCTCCGATTTCCACCGTTCAGACGCTATATGTCTCCGTACCAGTGCCACATATCTGCAGTTCGACTCTCCCAGCTGTCTTTCGGCGGATGATGCAGCTCTTAACTTTTGGTTCTTTGCCAAAATGGCCCAAACAGATGCAGCCGTCATGAGCAGCAGCTGTTGCTGCAAAGAGAATATAATGGTGAAAGTACAATAATTTAATTTGTGACTTTGCTGTGATTAAGCCAACTAGATAACAGCCTCTAGCTGCTTCCGCTTTCAACTTGTAATTTGTCACATTCCTTGAACAAAGAACGCTCCAGTGGGTCAATACAGCATGCAATAAAT